TCCTGCTCTCAGTCGGATCCCCACAGCAACCCTGCGAGGTAGGCTGGCCCAAAGTCACACAGCTGGCTCTCTGGCCACGCAGGGACGGGAACGCAGCGTGCCCACCCCTCACAACACACATCCTCCCTCCCTGAAGGGGCTGCTTAGTGAAGATGGTGGGTGAGTTAATTCAGCTCTTATTTGAACTTGTTTGGCACTATCAACCTCTATGCAAAGTGAAACTCAGCTATCCTTTGAAATGTACTCTTTTCTGGATTTTGCAGTGGAGTTCTCCAATGGGGAGAAAATAGGGGAAAGATGTGGAAAGGCACTCCCTTAGGGAAATTGCTTGCATAAATCAGGTGCATTCCATAAGACAGAACCCACCTGTGATCCCTGCTAAATCCAGGTTTGCAAGGGGGTGACCACCTCCGGGTCGTTGCACACCCAATTTCCTCCTGACCTCAGCTGCTCATCCACCCACCACGTCACTCAGGGCAGGGTTGCTTCACATCTGATGAACCCCATACAAGCCGGAGTTACATACATGCCCATATTCCTCCTTAAGATGGCGCTAGTTGCCCTCATGCATTGGCTGAGCTGGTGGTCTCTCCTGAGTGGAAACGCACTTCCGTCATGGCACCAAACCAAAGACAGGAAGTCATCCACAGCTCTGCCGACCTGAACGTCTGGGCCTCGGGAATTGTCCTGAAGGGGTGTTTCCATTCCACAGGAAAACCTGCACATTTCTGGTGCCCCTCAGTCCCTGGCTTTGGGGAACCCCAAGGCCTGGCCCTTCTGCTAATGGCATTTCTGGCCTCTCCCCTCCAGAGTCTCTCCCTTGTAGATTTCAGCTCTTCCTTTGCTTTGTAAAGCTGTTTTTAAGGGGTTACATGTCTCGTGGCTCAGCACGAGCTCCCCGAGCAACATCAGGAAATGCCAGATGTGCTCGGGGGTGAACATTCCAGCTATTCAGCTCCCTGGTTAGAAGAACTGGGTGAGACGCCTCCATGTTTGCAGGCCTGGTGCTTGTTGTGTCCATGCTTTAGAATGGTCTTTGGCACCCATACGTCCCGCAACATCTTTCTTGCTGCCTCCCCAAGTCCCCTATCACTCCAGCCTCTTTTTCTAATTAACACATTTCTAACACCTTGAACTCCTTCATGGATCACTGCCTCTCCTTCATGGATCTATGCTTTGTCATGGCGAAGGGGCTTGCGCAGCTCAATGAAGCTATGAGCTGTGCTGTGCAGGGCCACGCAAGACGGACCGGTCACAGCAGAGAGCTCTGACAAAACGTGATCCCCTGGAGAAGGAAATGGCAGCCCACTCCAGTACCCTTGCCGTGAAAACCCCCGGGACGGTACCAATAGGCAACAGATATGACGCCGGAAGATGAGCCCCTCAGGTCGGAAGGTGTCCTATGTGCTACTGGGGACACGCAGAGGGCTAGTACTCGTAGTGCCAGAAAGAATGAAGCGACTGGGTCAAAGCCGAAGGGACACTCAGTTGCGGATGTATCTGGTGGTGAAAGGAGAGTCCGATGTTGCAAAGATCTATACTCCATAGGAACCCGGAGTTTAAGATCCATGAATCACGGCAAGCTGGGTGTGGTCAAACAAGAGATGACAAGCCTGAACATGGACATCGTAGGAATCAGTGAACTACAATGGACAGGAATGGGTGAATTTAATTCAGATGACCATCAGGTGTACTATTGCAGGCAAGAATCCCTCAGAAGAAATGGAGTAGCCTTCATGGTCAATCAAAGAGTAGGAGAAGCAGTACTGGGATACAATCTCCACAATGACAGAATGATCTCAGTTGGAATCCAAGGCAAACCATTCAACATCACTGTAGTCCAAGTCTTTGCCCCAACCACTGGTGCTGAAGAGGCTGAAGCTGACCAGTTCTGTGAAGGCCTACAACACCTTCTAGAATTAACACCAAAAAGGGATGTCCTTATCATCATGCGGGATTGCAATGTGGAAGTAGGAAGCCGAAAGATAACCGGGATAACAGGCAGGTTTGGCCTTGGAGTACAAAATGAAGCAGCGCACAGGCTGGTAGAATTTTGTCAAGAGAATACAATGGTCATAGCAAACACTCTTTTCCAGCAACCCAAGAGATGACTCTACACTTGGACATCACCAGACGGTCAACACAGAAATCAGACTGATAATGTGCTCTGCAACCAAAGATGGAGAAGCTCTATACAGTCAGTAACAACTTGACCAGGAGCTGACCGGGGCTCAGATCATGAGCTTTTCCTTGCAAAATTTAGCCTTAAATTGAAGAAAGTA